TGGTTTGGCCACCTCTAGCTTTCTTTCAACCTACTCCTACACCACAAAACATACCTCGCCGACGCAGTCGGTGGTTAGGCATATGCAACACATGTCCCAACCACCTCAACTGATGAAGTTTCAGCACTTCATCTATTGATTTGCCATCCTTACCTAGAACTCGTTTCCTAACGACAGCATTACCTATACGGTTGTCCCAGGATACACGAGAAATGCTTCGGAGACACCGATGATCGAAGACTAGTAACCTACGAATGCCCTCTACTCTTAACGGCCATGTTTCACAGACATATAGTAGGACGGAGCGAACTACTGCACGGTACACTCGTCCTTTGGTTAACAAGCGGATATCTCGCCTGCGCCATGGGTGACGCAGGTTGGCAAAAGCCAATCGAGCCTTCTGTACCCAGCTGAAATTTCGTCAGTCACCAGGACATAAGAACTGATGAGACTCCCAAGATAAGTGAAGTGGTCTACACGCTCGACTACTTCACTCTCTATCACTAGTTCCGGTGAATTCGCAAGCCAATCGTGAAGCAACATTTTGCATTTCGAGGGGGAAAACCGCATCCCTAACATGCTTGCATTGTTGCTTAGGGTGGTCAGAAGACTCTGCATTTTGTCAGCATTTTCACTAAGTGGGACTATATCATCGGCATATTCTGAGTCAATAAGCGAGCCTCCCGGTAAAAGGTCTACTCCTGAAAATTCAGACGAGGATAAGGTTATATCTAGGAGCATGTGTATAATAAAATTAAACAAGAATGGGGAGAGTGGACAGCCCTGACGGACACCACTTGAAGTTATCGATTCCGATGACAGTACAACATAATCTCTCACTCGACTAGTAGTGTTTGAGTAGAGAGCGTGTACAAGGGTAATGTACCTTTTTGGTACACCTTTCAATGACAAACACTGCCACAGAACCTCACGATCCACTGAGTCAAATGCCGCCTTAAGGTCCAGGAAGACAACTATTGTAGGACGCCTCAATGTGTGTCTGTGTTCCAGGACCTGTCGTAAAGTGAAAATGTGGTCTATACATCCACGTCCAGGTCTGAAACCAGCCTGGTTTTCTCGAGTCTGCTCTTCACGAGCTCTATTTAGGCCTCTAAGCATAATCGGGGCTGACAATTTAGAAACTATATTAGTTAGACTGATTCCCCTGTGATTGTCACAAGGAGACGTTTGTCCTTTTTCATAAATTAGGACAATCAAGGATTTGGACCAGTCAGATGGGATTACGTCCAGTTCATAGTCTGTATGTGGTGCTGTGGTGCGAACTACTTGTAAGTAGTATATAGCGTGAGTGTCTGGTAGCATAATATGGGGGGAAGATCAAGAAAGGAAGAGTCAGAAAACAATGGAATTTGTATGAAACGCATGAATAGTGACAATGGATTGATGTTTGGCAACAGGAACAGTCCAGTTCCATAGGATGAACTGATCTTTTGCAAATGAACGATTTACGATATGGTTTTCCGATTTTACTGAGTAACTCTGTAATTTTCGTTAAATACAATTCGGTTGCCTCCACCTGTGTTCTCATACCTTTGGAAATTATCTATTATATATATATATATATATATATATATATATATATATATATTGTTTAACATGACAAGTACGGTGAATTTTAAACAGATATTTCTAGATTAAAATCTTTCATATTGAGACAAATCCAGGAAACAACTAAAAAACATCTAACAAGTTTATTGAAAATTTTTGATTAAATCACTTCAAAAGTAATACTGTTGGCGTCGACCCAATTATTACTTACTTAACCAATTCATTTATCATTAGTATATTCATCTTTATTATTACTATGATTATTCTCCTTCATCAGACTGATTAAATTTATAATTTACAATTAAAAACATGAAATGAGACAAGAACTCAATGTGAAATGACTAACAATCCTTGAATAATTTATATTCATAGAGTAAAAATCAATTATACAGTTTATCATGATAACTGTTACGATGATTTGCGATGATTTGAAAAACTAAAAGCATACAAGCAATAGTACAATAGTGTACTGCAAAATTAATATACCTGAAATATTGTCCATTCATAGTCTGATTTGCAACTCTCAGTTGGTCAGTGACAACGCAGGACTACGTACATGAGCACATAAGTTCCGGTTACCATACTGCATCAGCACAGAGACTCAACTGTCAGTTCCAATTCCATAGTGGTAGCGACAGTAGAAGTATTAGCAGTAATGGAGAAGATTAGGGAGTGAAGATATGATTCGAAAAGTATAATTCAGTGAGATAAATTTAGAAACAGAAAGATAAAGGTGATGAGGAATTCAGAAAATTAGAATTTCATAGAATACTAAGAATGGATGCACCTGTGCCATTGCGAACGATTTTGAACAATGTCATTCAAAGTCTCTAACCATCGATTATTATCATTTTGCGGACCCCAACCAGGTAGTCTACACCGACCAATATGACACAGTCCATTTGTTAGTGACTTCATGGATTTGTGCCATGTTTTGGTTTGGCCATCCCTAGCTTCTAACCTGCTCCTACATCAAAAAAACATAGCTCGTCGAGGCAGTCGGTGGTTAGGCATACGCAGCACACGTCCAACCACCTCAACTGATGAACACTCAATACTTTATCTGCCATCCTTACCTAGTACTGGTTTCTTAACAATAGCATTGCTTACTGGATAGTCCTAGGATGTACAAGCAATGCTTCGAAGACACCTATAGTTCAATACTAGTGGCCTACGAATAACCCCATTCTTAGTAACCAGAACGCAGCGAACCTTTATGCCATAAACTCGTTTCTCGGTTAGGAAACGGATACCTTGACTACATCATAAATAAGTTGGCAAGAGCTAGTTGAGCCTTCTGTATTCGTGCTGAGACTTCGTCAGTCACCAGGCCATCAGCACTGATGAGACTCCCGGGATAAGTGAAGCGGTCTAAATGCTCGACTACTTCACACCCTACCACTAGTTCAGGTACCGATGCGTCCCAGTCTTGAAATTTGCAACTCTACGACTCGAATCTCATCAGATTTGTATTGTTGACGATGGTTGTGCTGAAATGAATTAGGTATTCAACACTTTTTTTATCGCTTGTTAAGTTGATGTCACTAATAACGAACAAAAAAACCTTATATAACGTCATAATTTTGATAGATAGAAATTATGTCAATGAGCTTAATCTGTGAAGATTTTAAATAAGCTAAATAGAATAATGAAATAGAAGTTTTCTTCAAACACAAACAGCAATGTCAAATTTCAGGGAAATCTTTCATATACACAAACAGTTAAATAGGCTTGATATCTATAAAATGAAATAGGCTTCGAACTTATTTGAAAAGTATTATTTATAATTATAAGCATAAAGCAGGACAAAAGCAACACCAAATGTTGATTTTTCCTACTTTTTCAAATAAACTTAAACTGAATTGAGGCACATTTTATTGTAATGAGTACATTTGAACACTAATAATGTTTATAATTAATAGTTCTCTATTAGCAGTAGAGGAGTTGTGGATATTACTCAGTTGGACTGAAATCGTGAACTAATCAATGTTAGACCACTATTGGAACCATGAACGGCAGTTTTGTCCTAGTATGCGTTCGATTCTAGCTCACAAGGTCGTGGATGCGCATTGGTGATGAGTCCTATTCTATGAAGAAACAGCTTTCCGGTGCTCCCAGGTTTCCAATGGTGGTCTAAAATTAATCAGTTCATGATTGCAATGAAATAGTCCTATGTGGTTACTTAAACAAAAGCACCCCGCCTAAACAAACTACTAAATAAGATGTCATTCTACAACATACTGAAAATAAAAAATGTTTAGTACGTCAGTACTGAATAAAATTACTTATATTCAAATATATAGGGTACATGACTAGTTTAATTCAAATAAAATCCCTATTGGCTCATAAATTTTAATGTTACATGGATTTATTCTTCTATAACACATGCAATTTGCCACGATATTACATAGAGTTATCTAATGATCAAGATTTGGGGAGAAAGAAGGTTGTAAAGAAAACGAAACAGCTGTTCAGTAGTAGCCTGTGTTTTCACTAACTGCTTATTTGCAAAAAAAGGATTAGGTTGGTTAAAGTGAGTGTTTTTACAAGATAAATTGTGTTAAACATTAGTGCATCTTCAATGTTCTGTATTTACGCAATACTACTTGAAAAACAACTTAGAGTCATTGAACAGGACAAACTTATACAAGTTAACATATTTTCATTTATTTTGAAAATCTTTGCTGATTATTTCTGAACATTTTCCCTTCAGATATTTTGCGTAATAGGAAAAACCTCTTATGTGAATTTATAAAAAGCTTCACTCAGTAAATAATGATAGACAAGTTTAGGCTATCTAAACAGTTGTAGCATAAATTTTTTTGAAAAGAACATCTCAACATAGAATATACGATTAAAATTCTTGATAGTCAGTAGAAGCATAAGATTAAATAATAATGACAAGGTTTGTTGTTAGTCAATAACAGGAAACATTGACAGACTATATACAAGGCGGAATATTACAAATAAATCATAGTCAAAAAATGATTCTTAATGTTAAGTTGTATTTTTAGGAAAATCTTTATATTCAAGCAAGCATTTATTTCATTAGCTTTGATTACAATCTAGGTACACAGGCCTTAAATTCAGTTACAGAAGTAGGAAAAACATAAAATAGGGTATATAAAGAATTATATATATATATATATATATATATATATATATATTGAAGATCATGGTGGGCTAATAAAGGTATTATATCCTTTTTTGAAACTTCCTCTTAGGTAGTCGAAACGCACGACTCAATCGAACCCGTGATTTTCTGAAAAATTGAAAAATTGGCATAAAATCTACGCATATGATTTTCCACATTCTCATAGCCTGAGCTAAAATTCTCTTCGCAATGAATTTGATAATACATTCATCGAATGAGATAAATTCATAGTCTTTGTTAGGTACAACTCAACCAGGGTAATTTTACTTTACAGTATCGTAAACTAATTAAGTAAATTATGTGACAAGATGTATAGTTAGAAACAATACAAGTAAAATGAAGGAACTCTGAAATACAACACCAATCGATACTTACTTTAGCTTGTACATGTTCCAAATGTACAACACGATGTGATAGATCACCTGCAAGTGATGCAGCTGATTCACAACCATCAGTAGTTAAAGCTAAATTTTCTTTAGACATTTGTCTAATAGTAATTGGACTACCAGTCATTGGAGCTTGAGCTTCACATACACGTTGTGGCGGTACATTAGTCCAATTCAAAGCTAAATCGACCATAGCCGCAGCATCCATTAAGCCATAACTAAAAACCGATTTAAATTAGAAAATGCAATGAAATAAAGAAAAATACAGTTAATACTACTTGTAAATACAAAAAGAGGGTTGATAAAAATATATCAGTAGTATGTGCAGAGACTAGATCAGTAAGATCCAACAAATAATTTTCTTGTAAATTAGAAACCTGTTACAACAAACAAAAGCTGCCAGAAGTTAAAAAGGAACTATTTTGTTGTACTTAAGTAATATATATATATATATATATATATATATATATATACTGTTACAAGGAGGCGCCAAAAGAAATATATACCACACAACAGGAAAATGAAATTTTGAAGACAGTGAAAAGGTGTAATCACAAACAATAAATCTGCAGGTAATTCTCACTATTCCTTAGACTACATAACATAGATCATGCCAAAATGATCCGTTACATTTACTTATAGATTATTTTAATATCAAGTACGAAATTAACTACAATGACATGAGAGAAAAGTATGTCAATATGGAATAATCACACTGATTAAACAAAAACTGAAGACTATTGACTGACTAGAAAATGAAGTATGATTTTTGTTCTAGGTAATAATTATGTATACAGACACCAAGTGTAGTCAACACAAAATAATGTTACAAAAAATGACCTGATATTTTATAGTGAAGTGATTAATACAGGCAAATATCAAATAAAAAAAAACACCGATTAATAGTTTGTCCAACAACTAGTAACACCGTACAATGTATTCTATATACAATAACCAATTACTTACTATTAAAAACGATATGAACAAATAGTTGAAAAAATTACCGACGAACAAATGTACATTTTATTGTACAATTTTTTAGAATCTATACCGTTGTGTAATAATTTTTTATTGCTGTCGTAAATAAGAGATTGTTTCGCTTGTGATTTCCACTTTTTTTCCGACTGAAATGTATGGTAATATTGCTTTGATAACTAAAATAACAGATAAGCTGTCAAATCATATCACTGTAGGCTTTAGAAAACTACGAAAATTTCTCGGAAGTTTTCAAGGTCAGAAGACTGAAAATATTTTGTTCGATTGACGCTCAATGAAAACTTCTCACAATTCTAAGAAAACGATGGATTGGGTGTTCGAAGCTTCTAGAATACTGAGGTAACACATATATACCTATAAATATTCTTGTTTTCTGTACTGAAATTAACCTTAGAAGTAAAGCTTTATTTAGAACTTTTGTTTTCAGTTTGAGATTTAAATATAGACGATTTTCGCGGGACTAAGATATCATTAAAATTCAATGTCTAGTGTTCCAATACCAGATATATCGCCAAGTAATTAAAAAAAAAACATTCGCCTGATGGAAAAATCCAATGCCAATTGTATTGAGTAACTTTCAATATGACTTGTGAAACAATAGCTCAAATGTGAGTTTGATATTCAATAGTAATTTAATCACAGATTGTATTTATGACAGATATTGAAATGACCAAGAAGACAGATACCGATTAGATAGAGAGAGAAAACCATAATTTTTTCCAAGTTTTCACTCTGCAAATCATAATGTTATACTAGTCAATTGATATGCTTGACACTGTTATGATTTGACCTCAGTCGGTAAAGTAGTGCGAAGACACGATATGCTACTCTTATCCGAGCGTCCCAATGTCCCACTAAGTAGAGGAACAAGTCATGACAAGATGTAGAGAGTGTATTCTACAAACACCCAGAAAATTTTACGTCCACAAACACACAAATCGAGTTTACTTATATATCACAGAAACATCCTTGAGAGAGCCGCAAAAATAGCGTACTAAAATAATACGTCAACCAATAACAGCCAAGGTTTTTCCGGGTGGGAAATTCAATCTCTGGATCAACTACTCAACCCATGCGATAAAACAAAAAAATCCAAAAATAGGACCTTTATCAAGTGGGTTCTGGGGATCTACAGCGTCCGCAACACATAATAAACGTTTAAAAGTCATTTTGCATTATTATTTCATACTTTCTAGTGAATTATTGAAAACTAAAGAATATTATTAAATATTTCTTTTTTTTGTTTTGCAACTATTTTTCCAATGCTTAACTAACTATGCCCATAAACGTGAGCTTTTCAATTCCTATAGAACATAATCTCATTCATGATGAAAACTATCAATGAAATATCCTTATGCAATGAATCGATTCAATTTCTTATTATTATTCATTTTGAACTGTTATGCACATTCAACAGTAGTACTGGTTGTTGTTGTTGTTGTTATCGATTGCATCTTTCAAAAAATACAAAAAAATCATTGATTTTTAATTTCTATTTTTTTAAAATTAATTATTCCAGTTGTGTTTATTATTCATTGAAAACAAAATGTCGCCAGTATGACAGAATAATAATAGTGGTAGTAGAATCACAATGATATTCCATAATCTTAGAATAAAACTCAACTAAACCAAACAAAACAAACAAACAATTTCCTATTATTGTTGTGATATGATTCTGTTTATGATAGATAAGTGATGAATAGCTTTTCTTCAATTTTAATCTTTCTTCATTTCACATCAATTCATTGAGTAGTAGTAGTAGTAGTAATGGTAATCATTAGACAATTGGAAGAGAAAAAAAAGCAGTGAACTTATCACCTAAATATTAAACACTAAAAAAAATACAGTAATATAAATTTGACTGTTCAAATAGTTTGCTCCAATGAAAAACAATAATAAAAGGACTTTTCTTCTCTAAATAAACAAATTCTAATGAATGATGAATGATATTATAAAATCTAATGGTAGCTATGAACTACATCGAATGAAATTCTTTGCATTATAGTAGTATTATGGAGATTGTTGTTTTACATTGAAATCACGAACAAATTATTGTTGGACCAGATAACTAGAAACCTCGAGGCACTGGACGACCGTTTCGCCCTGTTATGGGACTCACCAGCAGTGCACATCTACTAACTGTGCTACTCACAGGATTCGAATGCAGAACTTTCGGATGTGCACGCAAACGCTTAACCTACGGACTACTGGGCTGGCACCCAACGGTTTTAAGGTCTAACTCTGATCAATCTAAGGATTTTGTGCAACCTCACCCATTGTATTCGATTGTTACTGCCTACACTCGACAGGGATGAACCCGACTGATCACATCTTTGCTAACTATCATTATGAAAGATGATTTCGTGAAAATCAGTACACAAATAAAAATGTAAAGCAGAAAGTGACTGATTGAATGTGTGGTTCGATTAGAAAAATGTTACATACAATTTTCGCTAACATTATGAAGGTATTTATGAGTTTATTTTAGATATCCTTTGAAAAATTGGGCAGTTACCTGCTACTTTATAGAAATAAATGTCTAAATACTTTTATAAATGTTATTTATTACCAACTGATTAACACAGAATAGCATGTCCCAAAACTCTTTGATCTCCGTTAATGCCATTCAATGACGAAAACTATCTATAAAATACTAATCAGCATTAGAGTAAGATTTTTTTTCCTAAAACAAATATGAAAATGACAATATTTACAAACATACATAAAAAGCTCGTTCAAGATAATATCGTATTGTTGGTTGCTTCTGACTAGTAGAAAATCAAAATGTCTTGTAATTTGTGCATAAAATTAGGTACAAAAGGATAGATTTTATCAATCAAACAATAAACGTGACTGAAATGATCGAGAAATATTATCTTATTAGTTATCTTTTCTTTTCAAGTTTTCGATCGTTTTTCCTTCTTCCAGAAATCAAAATCTATATGGTAGCGTGGGTTTAACATAAAAAGAGGATAATTGTAGTGAGAATAAGACCACATATAACTTTATAAATCATCTCTGGTTCGGTTGGTTTATCATTTAAGCGAAAGGAGTGAGTTAGGACAACACTGAGTTAAGTTTTGGTACAAAAAGTTGTGAAATATTTTCATTATGGGTTAGTAAGAATGTAAAGAAATAATAACCTAAACGTGATAACCTCAAAATGACGCGTGATGATTTGTCCCAAAAATATAATTTTCAACTACAAGTTCTATTTTATGAATTCCCTACCGTATGGATTTATGATTTACAAATTTCTTACACTTATACCTACTAATTAATCTCAAAGATGTCTGCGATTTTTTTCTGAAATGCTCACCTCGCTAGACTGTCATCAACTTTCTTGAGATGTTTAATGGGCTGCAATCTGACTCCGATGCGGATGAACAATTGAAGATGCTAGGAAATAAATCTTCCTTTCGAATTCCGTATATGATGTTTAGGCAACCGCGATCATAAGAAGACAGATGCGGTTTTGTCGGTGAATTTATTTCATGCATTCGTCTAAGCATACAGACAAGAGTGAAAAGCGTACAAACAAAGAGAAGCGAATTGGAGAAGGCGGATGAGCCAACTCACTGCTTAACAAAGTATTTATAGTCAAACGAAAATAGGGGAGACATGTGATAAGCGAAGTAAGTAATGCACATACACGCACTCAAATAAGAACAACCAAGGTTTTAAAAGAATAATTGACAAGATTGAAAGACGTGTGGATAATTCGAGAAAAATGGATTAATTAATTTGTCCAAAGGCTATGACAAGCTTTGTGGGTTCGACATACTCGTACATACACCACAGATGAAATTAAAGTTGTACACTACAAAACGAATTTTTGAAATCTATGAGATTCAATAACCAAAAATAACCATAGTTATCATAACCTAGAGTTTACGCATCTTTATGACTGTTTAGACAAATTGTTCATGTTTATTCAAATCAAATGGATTCTTTCAGTTCAGAAACTTGCAATAACAAAAATTAATCTTAATTTAATTACATCCAATAGTTAATATATAAACGTTATTGTTCATAGTACTCAGTTTGCATACACCAAATAATGTTTTCTCAAAGAATTCATTACTTATGCTTAATGTTGGTGGTATTAGCGTCTCAACTAATTGATTCGAGGTGATGGAGAAAATTTTCAGCTCAAGTGGATGATTATGGTGGAATTTCGTTCTCCCATTGGGTAGTTTCGGAACAACATCATCAGCACGAACTTCAGGTAGATGTGAAGTATTCGAATTTCGCCACCTATAACTCCTAGCTTGTCCTATTGACCTCGATCTTAATTGATTGCTAATAACCTTTAACCTTCTGACTAAAGGCAATGATCAGTAGAGTTAACTGATTTAACCAGTAACTGACCCATGTAATTAGATAGGATATGCATTGTCGCATAGATATATCAAAGTCAAAAATAAGACATACTGAACAACCAAATAGCCTCAAGATATTATAATCCTATATGAAAATGCAAGTGAATACGGTTAGTGACGAATTAGCGTTCATGCTATTTTTAGCTTAGTACAATTATATGCAAACATTTAAAGGACGACATATTGATGATATCGAGCGAATTCTCAGTATTAATATTCATATTTATCTATCATTTTAGTAACAAAAATGATAATTCATAAAATCATACAATCTGTTAAGTTATGTGATACACAGATGCGATTACACTATCAATCCATTTTTTTCTTTAAATAAAAGGAAGGAAACCAATCAGATCAGAGATAAATCAGAACAAGAAGAATAAATGTAACAATTCGAATGAAAAAAAAACAAACAAACAATGAAAGAACAACAACAACAACAAACAGAAATAAAAATTTATTGTGTAGAAAAATGAAAATTGTCGATTAAAATTAAGCAATAACAAAAGATTATTAAATGCTTAAACGCGAAATAACATACAAACTTATCACACGCACTATATACATGCATATAAACTATACATTTTCAATGGGAGAATTGAACGAATGAATAACATAGTCAATTTGTCTAGGAACTTATTCAAATAGAAATCAACTAATGCGATTGAAACTTTACGTAAATATTGAAATAATCTGCTAATATTGTCTAGAACAATTTAAATGAAATCAATTCTACTTTGTGATATATGAAACTTGATTTCGCAGAGGAATCGAATTAGCGTTCGGTAAAAATTATGACAAAAACTAGTTAAAAGCATGAGGTACAACAGTCATATCGTAGACCATAAACTTTCTAGAAGAGGTGTGAAGGATGGTGAAAATCACTGTCATACATTTCGATACATAAATTATTTTTATTGTCCTATTTCTCCAATAACAAACGTTATTCTGTTACAATTGTTTTCTCATATATATATATATATATATATATATATATATATATAACCATCGGAAAAGTTATTTTATTGAAAATTTCATTTTCCTCAATCCAGAATGATATAGCATAGAAATGAAATTTATAACCTCAACCGATAAGGAATTCTAAATAAAAGTCATGGATACTCATATAATATTTGAAGCGAAAGGAAAGAAAAACCGTTTCTTTAAGACGACGAACTATAACTAGTCTTTCATTGACGTTCCTATCTCTAACGTAAAAGGAAAAGAGGAAGGCTAAAGAACACAATATGCCGAGAAATAGGGAAAGACATGAGAAGAATTGACAAAAATTGAAAAGAACTGGAAAGCGAATACCAGGACAGAGTTGGTTGTAAATAAAACTGCTCAGCGGCCTATACTACATCAGGGGTAACAGGCGAAAGTAAAGTAAAGTAAGTATTATTTTGATTTGTAGCGATGACAAAAAATATTCGTAAGTTTTTTGTATACTTTACATTCTTAGTATTGGTAAATTATCGGTACCTGATGAATGAACGAATTGATTGCACAAAATAAATCAATATAAAGAAATGTTGAAATGAAACGGTGTTAAGTAAACGAAGTCAATCGTCATTATTGACCGGACCTACATATAGTGGTAGTTAACATTCATGGGATGGCAATCAACATCGTTGTGTTATTGTCAGAGACTCTGCAACGACTAACCTCATGTTGTGGCAGCCTTATATTATTCGCTTAGATTATGCTCTTATTCTTTTTTGAGCACACAAGTGACCATTAAATATGCCATTACAATTCCATTAATTATCAACGTTTACCCATATCCGTTTTTATATGCATCTGGCCATTTCTGTATCTGTATGATCATATTATTTCTTGGGTTATACTGAATAATCTCTTTTGAACTATTTAAAGAATTTCTAGTGTTCGAATAAAGGGTCAAGTATGTGACTCATTAGACGATGCTACTTAGTTACGGTATATTGACCTTACAACATTTAGCTGATTGGTTAAAATAAAAGTTTATAAGACTGTTCAGCCAAAATTTAATCAACCATGACCGAATAACAGTGTAACTAACAACAATCAATGAAAACACAGTATATTGAATGTGCAAGTTGTCGATTTTTAGCTAGCAAAAAATTCACGTCTTCCATTTGATTTTCTTACCTGCGTAGAAGCAAAAAATGCTTATATTTGCTGATCAAACAAAACAAATTGAATGCTTTGTACCAAATTGCAAATCAGATATTTTCTAGAAAATGTTTTAGGTAGACCATCTGGCAAGGTATCCAGATTTTTATTAAAAACATATTCAAACACTACCTAAATCTTAAATATGTTTCTCGTTAGTCCGCTAATCACTAAAAAAAAATACTCGAGAGTTAGTTCATGAACACTGAATGCACAAGAACATTTGATCAGCACCTATTTGAAAAATATTGCCTAAGTGTGAACTAAGGTTCAGAAAAAAAGTGCTAGGTTGAAGAAACAGTTCAAGTTATGAATCTTTGAGAATGTAACAGTATGGGTTACTTACTGTAAACTGTCATATATTTTACATAGAACAGGAATAAGAAGACAGGTCACAAGGATAAGATTACAAAACTGATAGCAAATTAGAAAGTATTTTATCATTATTCTGAATCACATAAAATTACCTCATTCATAGTCAAAATCTGGTAGATAAATGTATTAAAATGTACTTACTAATGTTAGGTCACAGAGTTGATAATCAGTCAATACAATATATCCATCCTACTTTACTGGATGGTTTTTTCAAGCTACCTCAGTCTATTCGTCCTGTATACTTACACCATACTCCTGAAGTTATTATCATTTTTATGTCTCCAGCTTTTACTTCTTTACGTGAATTAAAAACGTGCAATTAAAGACAACGCATTATTTTGTTAATTCTCACTGAGCTAAGTAAGTTAAAATAGACGGGGTTTATCGAGTGGGTTTGTATCCCATCCCCAACGCCATCTGATAAGCTAGTCAAACGATAGGCTTGAAACTACTACGAGTTCACCTTACTCGGTAATGGTGTAGTGACACGATAGGCTATCCTAATCCGTTGTTCCCGGCGCGGCAAACGATATCAAGAAGTCCTGATATGGAGCAGAAAGTGTATTCTACAAGCGCCCAGAAATACGAGGTCTACAAGCACACAAATCGAGCTTATTTATATATGATAGAAACATCCTTGGGAGAGTCACAAAAATAACGTATCAAAACACTCAATCAACCAATGACAGCCAAGGATTTCCAAGTGGGAAATGTAATCTCAAGGTCAACTGGGCAGCTCATGCGCGGAAAAGCAAAAACCCAAAATTAGAACCTTTTCCAAGTGAGTTCTGGGGACCTAAGGTCCCCAACAGTTTAGAAGTAGATGAAATGTCAATACTGATGATAAGACAATGATGACAAAAGCATTAACTGTTAATAAACTTGCTTACTTTAAAACAAATAAACATAGCAAACCGAATTGATTATTTACAGAATAAATACGTAAACAAAATATTTACCCAAATGCATGTGATACACGTCGACCAACACCATTCACATGCCAATCATCTGCGTATAAACCATCTGGACGTGCCGTGTACACAACTAAATATTGTAAATCTCTCCAAGTCAAATTAGGATTAGCTGATAAAGTAAGAGCACAGATACCGGCAGCTAATGGTGCACTAGCCGATGTACCAGAATGATTATCTGTACAAGTATGATTTAAATCTGTTGTAATCTATTATTTTGAGAGACAGAAAAAAACATGAACAGAAACAAAATAAAATTAATGAGTGAATGAACTAACAGTGTCATGTATTATGGTTAATTTAAATGACTACAACCAGTAAAATAAGTTAAAGCGTAGTTTTTATTGTTATAGTTAGTTATAATCGAAGTTAAGATCAATTTAGTACATAAATGTGAAAAATAAAAAGAATAATTGAGCTAATAAACACACTGAAATGATAATGTTCGGTAAAAATTATATTTTTTTGTGCAGATATTTTCAATCATTCACATAACCACGGGTAACAAGGAATAGGTCCTCGATTATGTAAACATTAATTAGTGAAGTTATTTACAAACAACTTGCTTCGTAATGCAATATAATAATAATGAAAATAAATATGGCGTATCGTTCGTTAACTTGATTATAAGTAATTTACAGTTGATCGATCACTGATTATTTACCAATGTCATGATGTGTCAGATTTGTCATAGTGTTAAGTACTTTTCGTGAAAATTAGTTATAGGTAGTTTTCATCAGAAATTATTAAAAATCATAAAACACTGATTAGTTTTAAAAATTCCGATGCACTGGTTCAAAAGTAAAACACTCGTCATGAGTTTGCACATACACATGATCGCAAGTACGAACTGTTAAGAGTTTACAAAACTATTATGAAACAGTTAACCAGTGCTTCTCAGTTTTATTTAGTCAACCAAATATTTCAGTTCATTACAAAGGCACCTTTCAAAATATCTGGCGTTTCGTTAGACGGTTAATAATAATAAGTATAAAAAACACCATATAAGCTGATTGAAATTACCACATGGTGAGTAGAAAATGATAGAAACACAAAAGATACTACAAGTTAGAATAAGTAAAACCAGAAGTAGAAATCTGACGAGAGAGTGAACAAAGTATGAATCAATAGTTTAAACTAAAAACATCGAATTACACTGAATATACAGATAAGTAAAATGCTAATTCTTAAGATGGCAGAGAGAGTCAGTTTAAAAGCCGTTTCATTAAGTGATTTCTTTCGACGATAGTTTACAATGAGTCTTGTTTTGTTAAAAGCGTACAAGATATCAATTCTTCTCAAAAGACAGAAACAAACATTACGTGTAAGGTTACAGTGTTGAGCAATAATGACAAGCGGAAGAATTGATTGCTAGGAAAAAAATGAAACAGAGATATTATGATGTTAAAGAATAGCATATATATATATATATGGTTGAAGATTAGTGTAGCAAGTTTCTGCAGCAGTAGACCTCAACATACATGAAGGAAAAATCAAGGTCCTCCGATACGACACAACATGCACCAACGGAATCGCACTTGAAAGGGAAGCTTTGGAGGATGTAGAAACTCTCACATATCTGGGCAGTATCATCGATAAAGAAGGTGGATCTGATGCATATCTAAAGACACGGATTAGCAAAGCAACGGCACTATCTCTACAATTGAAAAACATCTGGAACTTACAACAACTATCAACCAACACCAAAGTCACAATTTTCAGTACAAATGTCAGAACAGTTTTACTGTATGAAGAGGGAACTTGGAAAACCGCAAAAGTCATCACCCACGAGATACAAGTGTTTATTTATCAGTTGTTTACGCAAGACACTGAGGACACGTTAACCAGATACCATAAGCAACAACCTACTGTAGTAGAGAACAAACCAGATTCCAGGCGAAGAAAAAACCAGAAAGCGCTGGAAGAGGATAGGACACGCAACTGAGTCACAAGGCAAGGCCTCGCTTGGAATCCACAAGGCCAAAGAACACACTAACCCGAGAATTGGGAGCAGACGTGAAAAGAATGAACAGAAGTTGGGTAAAACTGAAAAGGAAGTCCCAGGACAGAGTAGTTCGGAGAACGTTGGTTGGCGGCCTACGCTCCATTAGTGGTAACAGACATAAGTAAGGTTGAGGATTGAAGTGCTTACAAGTACTTGTAACTTTCAACGGTTAAACAATTATTAGCATCCCAAAATCATGATATCAATGCTTCAAGCTGCTTTTGAAACGAGAGAGCAGTCACACTTCTTGTGCAGAGAATTTCATAGGCACTTACTACAAAGTTGGGATGTTGGTACTGTCGGCCATTGTTTAGGTATATTGAAATTTCACCCGTTTGGAGCAAATATATTCATTACAGATAGGTGAGAACTTAGCTTTCGAGTGATATAGTTAGGAATATTGTAGTCTCATGGTTGGTCGATGACGCTTGTTTTATTCTAAATCTGATTGCTGAAACATTTCCAATAGTTTGGTGTTACTGGGGAACAAGAAAGTTTTGTACCTAGTGAAATCCTTGTTGTGACTCAATGGCTTGTTAGAAAATTATATTATCTTCTGTACCATATACTGGTCAATCACTTTTATTCTTAAAACCAGTGGTAACAATTCCTAATTTGCTCTAAGATGTGATTCTCTCAAATCAGTCTTGTTTACTGATTTATCTCCTGTATTATGGGTGATTTGTACTACACATATGAACCAGGGTTCAAGCTAATTAACGATCACAGTTGCAGTAATGAAGCGATCCATGACGCTTCCGGACGCAAAATTAACTAATAAGCTAAAGCTAGGCATAATGGAATGGAATAACTGTTCTGTCAAGGATTGTGGGTGGATACATGAGTGCTCACTAAGTCAGGATAATGCTCGTAATGCTAGCGTTGATTTTTCCCACGTTTTGAATAATAAGCGTGATGTAGATTGAATTTGGAAGTTAATTTGGATAGATAACGTTTAGTGAACAAATTTCTAAATAATTTAACAGGGATTCTGTCAATTACTGAAGGTTTATCAGAGAGTTAGTGGTACTACTACCCAAATACATAAAGTTCATATTTATGACAAGGCAATGGACTGATGCAACTGCAAGTCCAATTAAATGGTGTGAATTATTAACACCATCTGAAGATTATGATAAGACAAAGTGGATAATCAATTATGAGCTTGATAGATCATCAACGTTGGCTTGTAGAATGCTTAAGACAACGAAATCCAACAGCAAACACATCAAGGATGATTTCAGAGACCTCACTGTGTTCTCATGACCCTAGCAAACCACGGAAAATTCGCACATTACTGGCTAAAAATGGACACTAACCTAGGAGATAACACTGATGAATCCTCAAATGTAGTACAATCGTAATTCGAATTCTAGTTAACGAATTTATAAAACGGACTGACTATCTTATCGATTTCTGTTTTAACAAGAAGATTGTACTTCTGAAAAAAATCTTAGCAATCAAGCAGATAATAGATTTTGTATTTTAAAATGATTACCTGAACTGAAGCATCAGTAGTATTATAAATTAAGCGAAAAAAATTCAATAGTCGCGTCCGCAATTGCAACTAGGATTATATAGTTCATTAAGCAATTCTAAACTATCGTAATCCTTTTTAAAAATTTGATAATAAACTATGGACAGAGAAGTCCACGATCGATTGTTTGTATAAATGAAGTCAGCTATTGAAACATTTATTTTAGAATGAAGACTATTTACGGAAAAATAAATTTTAGCTAAATTTTACGATCAATTCATTTTGCGTGATGTAAGCCTATTAATTAATTCCATTGATTACTTGAGTAATCTGGAAAGAATAACTAGTTAATATGTCCAAGAAATAATAGTTTTCCTCGAACATTCTACAATAATAGTAAGAGATTATTCCACTGGAACGAAGTATTTCGTACTGTTCACTGGCCTACAGGCTCAGACTTATCCGGAAAGCTGGTTGCGTTCTTTTAAATTTTTTCTGAGCGTTGAAACGAGTGTCGAACGAACAATGTAACCCGACAATCGAACAAATCAGTTTAGTATAAGATCACTGACTTCATTCTGAGTATTTTAGTTTTAAAAGATTGTCCTATCCATAGTGTATACAATACATTGATTATGGGAAGGGAAATGAAGAACTAGGAGGCATTAAACACCTGTACGGAACGCTCCAGTGATAAGCGTCCCTAAACCCATTAGGCATGAAACGCAGGATAGTCAGATTTCTCTGATGATATACTTGACCTTCAGACCACTGAGATTACTCATCTAGCGTCTTGTTGACTGGTTAGAATTAACGATACCCTCATCTTTAGTCAAATGGACTATTTAAACAAGAGTAATATATTTTTTTTCGACTGTATTTTATAAAATCAATCTGAAAACTTCAATTAGAAAACAAAACCATATACACAATCGAAAACATAAAAAAACGCCACAGTATTAACGCCTATATAGAAACCAATACATAAACTGATCAATTAGTCAAATAAAATCATTACAAAATGAAAATCAGACATAATTTCAATAGAAGTGAAAATTAATTTCTCATCCATATAGAGAAATTTACACATACGAATAGACACACACACACACATCTAAAAAGCAGACAAAAAAATAATTGCCCAGAATTCTCTTTTATTAAAAGTAAAATAAATCCCTTGTTTCACTAAACCGATATATATATATATACAAACCAAACATCTTTCAAACTTGAACAATATACGTGTATACACAAACATGATGGAAATTTTGAATTATTGGTTTGTTATTATTGAACGAGAGGAAAACAAAAATATATCACCCAAAATTAACAAAATTGGTTCAGTGAAATGCAAACACAAACAAATTTTTTAAAACAACTAACAACAAAAAAAATCCAAAAACAAATTAATTATTTCATAATTTATTACTTGCCGCCAAATTTCTTCTTTGTCTGTTCTATGTTGTAGTTTTTATTTCAAAGAAAAAGTGGGGAAAAAAAGTTAGATAGGAAAATTTTTATAAAATATGTATTTCGAATAACAAATAAATACACGTCTACTACATGGTCGATTTAAAATTATGTTATCAAGGGTATCATAAACTAATCAATGATTACATTAAGTGAAAATGAGTTGTGTATTTAAAGCGATTAGATTTAAATAGTTCCAGTTAGCTGTTACACACGGCCTTCACTGAGTTATCTGTATTTCTGTGTAAGTAGTATGCCATAAAGGAACCAACTGAATAAAATATATTGCATCTTAGATAAAGATATCTTAATATTTACTTCATGAATAACTTGAACTTCTGAACAACACCAAATTAATGGAATCAAGTTTAGATCTTATTAGAAAAGTTGTCATGGCTTATCATGAACCAAAAGTAAATGAATACCTTAAAAGAATTTTGAAATGTGAGTGGGTGTTTATGCAACACATACGAACTCAAGAAAAAACAACTTTCCAATTGCCATCGAAGTAATCATGTCCACAAAAGTCGTCTGAATTATACATGGTAAACTTTTATTCAGCCTGTCAAAATTCAGGTTCCCACCTCTCTGAGTAGTTTTTCTCTATTTAACAAGTAAGGAAAACTAGACCCGATATATGCACCATAATGAGAAGTACTAAAATATTTTCTTTTTTAACATAACTTTTGTGCTGACAGGTGAGTAGCACATTTTATGCGATAAAATACGATATAAAAAAATGTAGGTTAGATTAATATTTTACACACTTTGAATGAATCTATAAATAACCTAATAATCGTGACTTTGTTCTGAAAACAGTCCAATCGAATAAATATGTCCATTGTATTATATTACTTTGTCTTGTGATCAAACGAATATCAGCATTGTTTTCTCAAATACAAATGTAAAGAATTCTACGTGTGATGATTAAGTTGTCTACGCTTGAATGTGCATCAACTTGCGGCTTATCATGTGTTAGATAAAACAAGTCTGTTTTTCACATTGATTAGTGTATAGACGGTATGAGCGACCAATTAATTTAAACTTTTGATAAATAATGAATGTACAAGAAAAATTAGATAGACATTTGATAAATTAAAAAATAATGTTGTTTAGAGATCAGTAATAAACGATTCAAGAGAAATGATTCTACAAAACAATCAAGGATCAAATGAAGTAAAGAATTAAAACAATGTCGATAATTTTGAAAACAGAGCCTTGTTCATAGGTATTCATTTTTCCATTCAGTAAAACTTCTTTATACGAAGTAATGATTAAAGATCTTACCAACAGCTGGCTAGAAGATTCCTTTAAATATTTTGAGAATTATATCAGTATCTAGAGAAATATTTAATTTTTAAACTCTGTCTATAGAGAGAACCAGAAATATCACATATTAAAAGATAATTAGCTTGACACTTTTTTAGACAAGAAATAACCAAAAGAAGTATATTTTTAAAAAAAAATAGGTTCAAAAATTACCAACTCTGTAACTTTAAAAAACCGATAATTGTTAATCTAATGGCAATCGATTCTGAACCATTTGGAACCGATATTCCATTTTAACTACGAAAAAAAATAAATTTGAATTATAATAATCTCTATAAATGTCTAAACTGTAAGATATTTCACTTGGTATCAGTCAAGAAAAAACATACCATCATAGAAAAGAACTTGGTGAGAGACATAACAAATAATTGGGACTAATTAACGATCGATAATAGTTAGAGTATAATGAAAATGCCGGATAGTGATTGCGTCTTAGTGTGTATGACTCGTCAACAGTATGCGCTCATGAACCAATTAAAGGTAGTATTTATCCTTCAGGTTTCACAGTGAGAGTGTAGTGAACGAGAACACAGGTGGGGCAACCGAATTGTATTCAGCGAAAATTACAGAGTTACTCAGTGAAATCGTAAAACCATATCGTAAATCGTTCAATTGCAAATTATCAGTCCATCCTATCAAACTGGACTGTTCCTGTTGCAAGACATAAATCCATTGTCACTATTCATGCGTTTCATACAAATTCCATTGTGTTCCTACTCTTCCTTTCTTGATCTTCCCCCATCTTCTGCTGCCAGACATTACGTTGACACTCACGTCATATACTACTTATAAGTAGCTCACACCACAAGAGCATTACACTTTAGACAAGTGAGCCGGAATCCCAAACTGTGCTTTCCAATTTAACTACGTTATTTAATATGTCGTGGATATCATTCGATAATATTAATGAAAATGGCCTTAGTATGATTGTAGCGTCTTTTGGAAGCAATCTAAATACTAGGCCTAGAGATTTGCATGAACTCAAAAGGGAAGTTACATAGTTTTAAATAAATATTGTAATATTTCAAGCTAAATCATATGAAAACTCTTTTATTTTCTATACAAGAATGGTATAACAAGTAACATTGCTATTAGTTATGCGCAAAGTTAACAAAAATGAAGAACCGGAAGTAAAAATCAGTTAAAGTTAAAAATAGTCAATATGACATAACTAGAGAGAACAAGGCATTATATATATATATATATATATATATATATATATATATATATTCAAAGCTTCTAGAAATTTAACATTTTCAAAAACAAAAAAAAACGTTTTTGTTAGAAATTAAAAATGAACAAAAAACCAACAACCTGTTATTCAGTTATCTTTAATGTTCAACAAGTTATTTTTATTCTGATTAAGGAAACTAAGAAACATTTTTATTACTTTTAGAAAAAAGAAATAAACTATGAGATTTTACCAACAAGAATAGTTTGTGAATTTTTTTTTATGAATTATGAATTGTTTTATTTTTGGTTATAATGTTAATTAATGCGTAAGTTCCATTTTCTTTTTTTCTCAAAACAAACAGATTTCTATCAACTGATTGTTACTGTGTAATTTATATATCTAACTGAATTTGTTAAATCATATATAACTAAAAAATAGATGTGATTGAACTGTTGATCACACTATGATTTGTTAGTTGTGTTGTGTTTTTCTGACTGATTTATTTTTTTGTTTTAAAGCTTTCCAAGTCAATGGAAAACGAAAAGAAATCACAAGTTCTTCACTTTGATTTACAACACTTTTTCAGTAAACACGTTTGATGTATATACAATAAATTATAGAATGTTTGTTTGACTTATAAATATATATATTTGTCGAATTTCAACAAGTGAGTCATGAAATAATTTTCAGTTTTCTGTATTTTTTCAAAACTCAAAATAGAATTCTAATTGATTCTATCAAGACACTTACATAGTGGATACACATAGATCGGAAAAGGTTAACTATTAGTGCGACATAGATTGGATAAACGCGTGATTGCGTTGTTGCACGCTGATTGGCTCTTTCGTATCCGATCAGCGCTAGCAGATTACTGAGGGAACATTCTAGAATCGTCTCATGTAAGAAAACTATAAATATGCTGTTTCTTTCCTTCGGACCTTCTGACTTCCATCTAACCTTGTTATTGAAATATAATATTATCCCTGTCCAACCGTGTTCTAATTTCAGGAGAACGTCTCGAGTGAATTGGTGTCCGAGAATACTAAGCATCAGGAATAGCTGGGTTGTAATAAAGAGAGAATTATAACACTAACCGAAAATTCAATCAAGAATATCCATCCGAAATCAAAACCCCCAAACTATGACATTATTATCAAACATGTTGAAAAGCAGAGTGTATATCTAAACTTAATAGTTTAGTGGATAAATGAGGCTGTGTTTGAAGCGAAATGTTAGATGAAATTTTAAGAAAAAATCAGTAGTTCTGAAGTATAATATTGAATGCCAGAGATTTTTGATTGAGAAAGTAAAAAGAAAAAATTTCGCCATTTTTATTTCACCAGATATGAGTTTTCGTGATGATTCACATATTTCTATTAAAATTCTTTATAAATATAAGAAAAAATATGTCAAATGAATTAAATCGTAATCGAAACACTGATGTAATAATACTATGAATTACTGACTGTTCGAATGATCCATCCAAGTCTAATTAAAATTTTTAATAAATTTGAAGAAAATATTTCAGAGGAAACAGGTTCTGATGAAATCCCTACTGTTGACGTATCAGATCATGTTTGTCTTTACAATATGATTGTTTCCTGGTGAAAACTTTGTGGCCAATGTGAAGCACAACTTGTAGATAAGTTCAAAACTAATTATAGTTCTGCATCAGATGTTGCTTATCTTCAAGATGCAATCACTTTTAGAGAATTCTGTGATGTGACAAATATGGTTTTTAGATTGATAATGATTGATATAAATCATGAAAACTTACAACACCACGTTCACCACGTCCTCCACTGCTATAGGTAACAGCTAAAGTTGAAGAACAAAGTTCTGCATACCATGGAACAGATCCATGCTCTGAAACAGATCCAACACCTAGTGTATAAATACTATTTGTGTATCCATCACAATTGCAGTTATCATGACTTGTACCACCATTTCCACTGGCCCATACAAAAATTGATCCTAAACCACGTCGACCCTGTTAAAAGAGAAAGGTAAATTCCATATGTAGTTAAATAAAAATGTTGATAATCACGAATTTAAACGAAATAAAAATGTTTATTCTAGACTTTTCATCTTTTTCGTAAAACTCATTTCGTTGGGAAATAAAACTTGTAAAATAAGGTATCGTATTTATTGGTAATCGATAAAAAAAACCTAAAACTTATCGTTTGCTTTTCGATACATTAACACGTATGACTATAATTGATTGGTCAATGAGATAGTCAACTCAAGTAGTTGAGTTATAAAGCTAATGTGAAGAATAATTTGTCTGAAGAATTCCTGCCAAACTTTAAATATTCGCAAAGAATACTGAAAATAAACAAAATAGCTTACACATAGAGGATATTAGTAGACTGCTTATCTTCGATCATAGGTATCTCCGAAGCATTGGTCGTATATCGTGGGACAACCGAGTAAGCAGTGCTATAGTCAGGAAACGAATACTAGGTAGGATGAGAGACCAATTGATGAAGCATTGAAACTTAATCAATCGAGGTGGTTGGGACATGTGTTACGAATGACTAACCACCGACTGCCACGACGAGCTATGTTTTGTGGTATAGGAATAGGTTGTAAGAAATCTAGGGGCGGCCAAACCAAAACATAGCACAGATCCATGAAATCACTGACAACTGGACCGAGTCATGTTGGTAGATGTAGGCTACCTGGTTGGGGACCACGAGATGAAAGTCACTAATCGTTAGAGACCTTGAACGACGTGGCTCAAAATCGTTTGCAATAGTTCTGGTGCATTCATTCTTTGTGTTGTCTCAAATCCTAACCTTCTGAATTCCTCATCACCTCCATCTTTCTCTTTATAAGTTTATGTGACTATATTCTACTTCTTGAATAATATCGCCGAACCCCAATCTCTCCTATTACTACTAACACTTCTACTACCTCTACTACTATGGGATTTGAAGTGACAATTGCATTTCTGTGTTAATGTGGTATGGCAACTTGAACTGATGTACGTACGTACGAAGTTCTACGTTGCTGTTGATTAACTGATTGATTATGTAGTTTCCAACAAAGTGTAATTTAACTTATAATTATAAAAATATAGAGGTAATTTCAAATGAATTGTAATTTCAACAATTTTTTCATTCCATCCATCTTGGCAATAATACAATAGTCGTTAATTTTAATCAATGTCATCAATCAGTAATTTGCTCTTTCTAGAATGTTCTTATAACTCATTTGTCCATTAAAATTGCATCAAACTGAATATTATTACAATTGATTTCAGTATCATTTCTCACTTCATGATTTCACACATGAGTAATCAGTAATTTTAAAAATATTAAAGATCTCCATTGTGAATATTAGAACAACACATTTAAGCGAACAATATGGTTTTTAGTCAGATCTTCATCAGGTTTTATGCTAATATAGATGAATATTTATTGGAAATTGTTAAACCGATCAAGGTAATTTATTAGTCAATAATTACAATGAAATAGATTACTTAACTACACATAAAAGGTAAAAGTACAAGTTGAAGGTAGGAGGACAGCTGTACTGTTAGTGGTACGAAAATAGTTAAATACAATAACAAAACATTCTGTCAGTAGTTCAAGATTGGTAAAGTAGGTCAAACTTGGATCAGTATACTTAATGATCAATAATTGGAACACAATACCGTAGAAGTACAGCAACATTGTCATGATTTCACAAATAATGCAATATTGATCATGTACCATACTGTTAACCAAGAAATATAACACTGAGTTCTAAACCACAACAGACATATTACTAATGCGAAGCCAGACTAAGTATTAGTAAGCACTAAATGGATTTGATAGGTATTAGGGATAGAAAACTATCTGAACGTGATTTTCAAAAAAGAATGATATTTTTATGATATAAATTCACCCTCAATCGTCAACAGCAATTTTATATTGGTCTTCAGGAGAACTAGACACTGCCCACGTATTAACGTTACAACATGAATAGTACAGCTCAATCATGTGGCGCAACCACACAGGTACTTGACACCTTAGTGGACCATTTACACCGGTACATATACTGATTATTTCCGATCCATGATTGCGTCAATCAGTATGCACAGCATGCACAGGCCAATTTGACCCATCCGGTTTAAATGACTGTCAAACTCATTATTATCCGCAACGGTGATGTGCAATACGGCATCCCAATGGACAATGACCCTCGGGAATGTAGCAAGACAACCACCAGTATCAATGAAATCGGTTACCCTGAAAGCTTAATTTGTATATGGACTATTGGCTAGATTTGCCAAAGTAATGCCAAGCCATCCACAATATTCACAACGAACCTCCGGTCTCATAAGAAACCTTCAGCTCTATATAGCAATACAAGAATGATAGTGATGATTATGATTTAAAGTTTTCTAAAATGAAATTGGAAATGTGTATTTGTTTAATCTAATTAAGTAAATAGTCATGGAAAAATTAAATTAAAAAAAAAAAAACAACATTTAACCTACTTACCATTTGTATTCCGTTACGAAATGCCATTTGAGCAAGTTTACCTGGACCATCAACTGTTTTACCATCATCTTCTGGACCCCATGATGCAGAATATACATCAATATGTTGTAGCTGGTGACTTAATGAACGTGATTCCATCGCATCAGTCACATCACCATCTAACATACGTACACCACCTATGCGAGCTCTATACGCTATACCTAATCCACATACACTATTATTTGCAGCGGCAGCCACTTCTCCAGCGCAACGCGTACCATGACGGCTGGAGTGATAGAAAGTGAGGGAAAAAAAGCAAGAAATGTCTTTTTATCTTGTTAGTAATTAGACAGTGAAACATAAGTAACACTTCGTACACTATTTGTTTACCGATGTGATCAAGAAAAAGAATATCGTACAAATGGATCATAGTCAGAAGAAAGATCCAATCAACTGATTGAAACTCTAACTTTTTTTAACTAAACAATACGTTAGACATAAGGTTCCGTTATTCAAAGTAGAATCGGGTGTTATTGATCAAGGGAGACTTATTGAGAATTCTTTATCTAATTTGAAATTCCCTCTACTCATGAACTGAACAATTCAACTTTGAGAAAAAACGATCATTCACACACTCTAATCTTAATCTATGTTCTTTATTGATGTTAGTTGTTTCCTTTTCATAGTTTAGACAGAAAGCGTATCAAACAACTAATAGGCATATATGTTTAGATTGTTTTTATAAGCAGTGAAACATGTCGGTAAAACATTAAAAATTATCGTAGAAATACGAACAAGTGAAAAACATTTTAACTAAAAGAAAATTGACTATCAAAACAATATTATCATATAAAAGATTTTTACTCCGAACATAAAGAGATTAATGGATAGTTCTCGAATAAATTACAAACACATAGAATTAAAAAGAAAATAACATTTGGTCTAGAATATGTTGTGGCAAAGTTGATTTGTGAATGGTTTCTTAGATATTTTTTCCGCTTTCAGACATGGACAACATAAAGAATAATTAGCCTCTACAGCCAGACAGCATATCTCTCAAAATAGATAAATTCAAACAAACTTGTAGAAGAGAATTGTACTTAAATTAATCATGCACGTTATTTTGTACGTAATGAAGATAACCACTTTATAACAATATTAATTTTACTCTTAATAAACATTATATTTTTGATCGGAATCATATAATTCTCCCCGTTGTACATAGTCGAAAAAGTGGATGTCTGTATATCGACAAATAAACAAAGACTTATCACAAAAGTGACCTTTATCATCGATCAATAACATTACTGTATATACATATATTTGCATAGCATTTTCTATGTATAAACTTAAGTCATTTGACTGAAGGCTGTAAACAAGTGAACAACATCGTTAGCACGGGAGATTTGTGACGATTGTAAAAAGTGAGTTTAGTTCACACCATTTACACTAACCTTAGCTAAACAACTACTGGAAAATATTGAAAAGCAGTTTCATCGCAGATTGTAACACTTCAGAAGTACGCAACCATAATATCTATTAGTGTTTTAAAGGTAACAAGTTTTTTTCTGTTCAAACTATAACTATAAATCGATTATGAAATTTCATAGCTTTTACAGTATCCTACAATGTAATGACCTACCTCTCATTTCAACATCTACGAGTAATGAATACTACAGTTATACATTGTTATTAAAAAAAGTTATTTTTCAAAAAAAAAATTTATTTACTTGACCACTAGGTTGAATCAATTTTGGTAGAATCTGATGAAGAATAAACTACATTATTTACATATGTTTGAAAAAAAACACATACTTCAAATGCAATTGAGTTAGTTATCCAAAGTTAATATTTCGCACTTACTGTACTAAGATAGGATATTACTCAATCTTCTCAGGTTGATCAAATGTCATGAATAGTTATCATGTAAACTTTTCAAGATTACATTTCACAAATAATCTTTATCAGAGAATCACTTCTTTTTTTATTGTTTCAAACCATAAAACCTAATAAATTTAAATATTTCAAACAGCTAGGCATATTTTTTCTCAACATAGTCATTTTAATGAAACTAAAATGAAAATTAGTTAAACACACTGTAGTGATTTGTAACGTTAAATGCAAATTAGCCAATTACTTAATCATGTAAATTTTTCTTCTCCAAAATTGCAATTTTTTATCATGAAAACATGTATATAGGAACACATTTGTTAATTAAATGCTGAGACGTGTTAAACACATTGGTAACAATCAAAATGTTACATAAAACAGCTGTAAAATGTAATGAAATAATATCAACAGAATATTAATCCAGAACAAAGCGATACGATAACATGAAGTGAAGCTGTATTTGGAAACATTAATGTACATAGACACACGCGTGTACATATTTATGTTGATATTGTCACGATCAAAGAAAATACAAAACGAAATATGTTGTAAACTATAACAAAAATCAATTCAACATGGTAGGGCAAAGATATATGACTAAAATTAATGTGAACTTCAGAAATTAATTTTTTATTCGACTTGATTAGTTACATACAAATATGTTTAGAGCCATATTCAGTTTTTGAAAAAAAAAAACGACTGAATTTTAATTAGTCTTTGTTAGCATAAGTAGTCTTGTATAGAGTACCTTGATTTTGTTATTTTTTGTTATAAATTTCATAGAATAAATAGTAAAATTCAGAATGTGCGTTTTGTTCTAATTAGGACTTGTCAACTAGATATAGCTGCTGGAATTCGAATCTAGTAACTTTGGTAGCAAAAACTGACCGAAATTCAATCAAGAATACCAGCAATGGGTTAATGTAATGCCCTACTATTAATGATATAAACGTTACACTGTTTTCACAAATCCGTAGCTAGCTGGACTCATCAAGCTAATGATAACGTGTTGGGTATTCAAAATGATAATAATTGGATTTGAGTGTTGGAATGATAATTTATCCAGCTGATAAGTCTTAAGTATGATGAAATACACAGTCTGGATTTGACTGTTAACCATAATCTATTTTTACTGTATGTTTAAATCTAGTTAGAAGACATTGAAGCTTTATCTTCATGCCGCGCATTATTTAACAAGATGAATCTAAAATATGTAGTGCAATGACAGATGAACTAGTTGGGATTCATAATATAAGAAGTAGGTCAACAACTTAGAAATAAAAACGCTCAAATAACATGCATAAGAAATAGTTAAAACTATGTAATAAGAAGTGGTCAAAGAATGCAGTGACTTTGGACATAAAGTAAATTAACTAGATACAACATGCAGTTCGAGGATTTATTTTCACAATAAACATATTTGGACTTGATGTCAATCGGCCAACTTACTAGATCTAGCATTATGTTGGTTGACATCTGCCAACAATACAAAACTAGTACATCATATAATAAACAATATCGAAATCTTGTACAAAAGCTTGAAAAATGTAACACTCTAAACATAAGCAAGTCAAACAGGAGGAGGACTAATCCTAATGAACAAATTAGACTACATTAATAAAATAAACACAATCATAAATGATTCGATTAAGTTTACAAAAACTCAACAACGTTTAGGATATATTCATAGAGAGAAACTACTGGTTAATTCGCTTAAGGAACTGAAAAATAGGGATAATTACTCCAACTCATGAGATAAGGCATAACTAAGTATTTGTAGTCAGACAAAAATAGGCTAGACATATGTTAAGCGAAGTAAACATGTACATACGTACTCATATAAAAACAACCAAGATATAAGTGAATAATTGACAAGGTCGAAAGATGTGTGAATGACATGAGAACAGTGAATTGATGAAATTGTCCAAAGGCTGAGACAAGCCATGTGGGTTCGATATATTAGTAAATTCTACAACTCCGCAACTCTATGGTTTACCCAAAGTTCACGAGTTTGAACTTCATCCAGTTTTAGATATGTGTATAATACTCCATATACAACAAAACTGCAAACTGGTTAGTTCAAATTCTGGATCCCCTAAACAAATTATTCGTAAACAGAAGCGTTAAAAATGTTTTCAATCTCATTTCCAAGGTGGAACATATGAATTTAAGGATGAAACGGATGATATCCTTATTTACCAATGTATGATTAACTTTACCAATTAACTCAGCGTGCTAACAACTCTTGGGAGTACAACCAGTTAACTGAGTCAGTCAGTTAGTGAACACCTTCATTCGTGATTAGGAAAGAGGACTGAACTTCGTTCTATTTCACTTGATCGATAGTTGTCATGTACTACAGCAAATCAATGAAAGTAATCTGCCGTATACCTATTCCCTTTTTCCTTGAGGGGTACGATTTCATCTCTTACACAGCAGAAGCCATATGGATTCCAAGCTAACATCTCAAGTCTTTAGGTTCATTAGAAATGTGTAACATACTCTAACTCATCAGTCTTAGCGGACGATTTAATCTATTATTTCAATAATTTCTAACACATTTCGATGTCCATTTGGTCAAGTTGTTGACCTATTTTCTATTCGAAATATTGAATCAAGACTTTATTCCTGTCATAACTAGTACACATGTCATCAAATGACTAAATTGTACTTTTTACCAACTGTTTATTTGCATAATCCATTATTTCACCGTTATTGCTGACTCATACACTGACTTGATTGGTTTAATAATTTCATATGGGCGCATAAACATTGATGACAATCCAATAATAAACAATCATGTTCGCTTATGTGTTGTTCTTAATCTATGTTATGAAAACTGACCTGACGCAGAAAAATCAATAAGTTTTTCAGTTATAAAATAAAACTAGTGTTATGTGTATCAGCATGCACAATAGGGAAACAATAATGACCTTCAAGACAAGTGAATAAATAGTCCAAAGGAATTGGAATGTTGACATAACAAATGAGAAATAAAGCAGTGAGTCATTAATTTAATCAAAGATTCCCAGTTCTTAATATGAAATGAACAATTAAAGCCAGACAATTTTCGATAATAATGATGATAATAGGTCACTTCGATAATGTATAGGCTTTTTTGACGAGATAATTACAACTGAGGTCAATGAATTAGTCATAAACACTCTTGAACTGAACACAAAAATGGATAGATTCGACTTGGTCCAATTTATCAAGCTAGTTAAAATAATAATAGGAATGAGAGTGAAATGCGATTTCATGCGTACAGTTAACAAAATAAACGAATTAGCAGTTGCTTTAACATGATATTCTTTGTGCTTACACTAATTGTAAACAAACAAACAAACATGTAGCACAGAAAACCTCTCTCGAGAAATATTACCTTACAAGAAGAAA